GACCTGTACATATAAGCAGGCTTTCTGTTGTCTCCAGCAAAGGAAGCTCAGGACTGACATTCTGGGGATGCTGAACTGGGAGGAGATTTCACTCTAGCTTTTACTGGTGTGGCAACACCTGAGGGGCTGTTATCTAGCCATCCGTGATTGGATATAAAACAGCACATTTTCCTAGGCAGGAACATTTTTGGATTTGTATTATGGTAAGAAATTATGTGTGTGTTCTGTCTATGAAAGGACAGAGTTTAATTGATTCTTCCCTGCTTTCCTTATTGTAACAAGAACTGCCTCCCCAATTTCGACATTTCCGATGATAACTTACTAACGGCTAGAAGTGAGCCCAGAAACAAAACCACAGAAGCAAAGACCTATATGTGTTATGGGTTCGAATGAAACCAAAGTTCATTGCAAGCAGGAAGTGATGTGGGCAGAGAGAAGAGAGAAATTGGGAAGGTCGGGTAGGGCTGTGCCATGGGGTTTGTATATTGTACTGGAATGTGGACAGCATTCTGTGGGCCGAGGAGATGTGGTGCGGGGTTTGTACAGGCTGTGAACTGAACTGTGTCTCTCACCACAGTTCATACAGAATATAACAAAGGCACGAAACAAAGCTATTTGTGGGCGAAGACACTGCTAACCACAGGTTACCAGCAATTTGAGTGATCAAAAAGTGTATCTCCCAAAATATTTATCTCCCAGATAAAAATGGCAGATTAAATATAACAATACAATTTCACTACTTTTGAAATTCCACTAAAACATAGTAAGTGAATTTTTAAATCCCACAAATCTATCAGTACACAGAGAGGAGACAGTAAAAAAAAGTTTGAGAAGTCAACCTCAGGAAAATGATACAAAATACTGTGGGAAAAGCCAAGGTCTGCAATAACATACACCACAGAATCTTACAAAGAGATTCTTGAAGGGTCTAAGGTGAAGAAAAGACAGACCAAGGAGCTCTCATCGATTAGAGACAAAGGAAACGTGACAGCCAGGCGCAGTGGGAACTTTGAAGGCAGAAAAATAACATTGCTGGGAAACTGGGAACATCCAGATAAAGTCTGGTTCAGGTATCGGTAATATTTGCCATCATTTAATAGTCTGGCAAATATGCTACGCTCATGAGCAATGCTAATGAGAGAGGAAGGATTGATGAAAAGTGTGTGCAGACTATCTGCTCCGGTTCTAAGCCTCTTGTAAACATAAAATTATTTCAAAATTAGCTTTTACATTACCACCACTGTTGAGAGAGCGATAACTCCAGCTTCCCTCTCTCACTCAGGGCACTTGGGCAACTGTTCCTGGAACTGATGCTCTCCGGAGTACAGACTGATAGAAACTGGATTCCTGTGGTCCTGGGAAACAGGGATGTGAGCTCAGTGTGTACACACACTTTGACGACGCTGACCTCAGAGGTACATGGCGGAGCCGCACCCACTGCAAGGCCCTACACATCAGACAGGGAAAGCACCAACTCAGGGACGAACATGAGTCTCCATCAGGCTCCCTCCTGCAGTCAGGGCTGAGAGAAATTGAGTTTGCTCTGAAGCTCAAATTTACTTAATGATATTTGGGAAAGTAATGGACTCTTTCTTGAATATTACCCTATTCCTGCCATTTTGCTGCAATCTTCCTTATAAAGAGGTCTGTGTCGATTTTTTGAGATTTTCTATCTCAAGTTGTGTTATCTGTGATCTTGTTTCCTTCCTCCTCAGACTGCATGCCTTCAATTTCCTTTCTGCATTAATTTTTTTCTCTTGTCATGTGACTTGACATAAACCGCTTAAAGGAGGGGAGATTTGTATTGGCTTAGTGGAGATACAGCCTGTTGTCACAGGGACATGGCACCTATAGCGGTTTGTCTATGAGGCAGGAGCATGGACAGCAAACAGGAAGCAGAAAGATGGAGAAGTGGCCCCACCAATCCCCATGCACAAACCCAAGGCTTCTCTCAGTGGCACCATTTCCTTGTTTGAACCTGACTTGTCCACATCTTTATTTTGGCATTTGCTTATTTTTGAGACAGGCCTGCGACACAGGCACTATGTGCCTGAGGATGAACTCCTGATCCTCTGCTCCTACTGGGACTGACATGCACCCCCACACTTGGCTCTTGTCCCAGCTTCAGATACCCCATTCTCCTCTCCTTGGCAAACATTTCCTGCTCCATCTTTTTTCTCTGCCTCTTCATCCAATACTGATCATTGGCGGTGGGAAGTAACCATCCCATGGCCTACCTCTTAGGCTGAGAATGCCCTTGATCCCGTGTGTCATCCCACAGCATCCTGGACTTCCACACTCCCTCAAAGCAACCATTAAGCTCTGCTTACAGCCTCTACATTCCTCCTGCAAACCATTGTCAAAATCAAGTTCATTACAGTGGTGGCCACTGTTCTGCGTCGAAGCGTTGCCTTGGTTATTTCTCTTGTTGCTGTAAAGTAGAAGAAATTTCAGGAAGAAATGGCTTATTTTGGCAACACAGGTGTTACAATAGGGAAGGGCACTGTCGTCTTATATGTTAAGTGAATTAAATGTGTAAATATAAGTTAAAATGCATTGTCCCCAAATTCATATGCTAAAGCCTTGGATGTTGGTACCTCGGCACAGATCTGTATTTGGAAACAAGATCTATAAGGCAATTAAGTTGAAATTAGGTTGTAGGGTAGACCCAAATCCAATATGATCGTGTTTTAAGAAAACGGAAATCTAGATAGAAGCAAACAGGGAAGGAAATGTGAAGATTTAGGGAAAAAAAACAGAGTTACTTACAGGTCAAGGAGAGAGGGAGAGAGGGTTGGGGCAGATCATTCTCTTATAGTCCTTAAGCACTAATCAACCCTGCTAACACAATGGTCTTGGACGCCAAGCCTCTGTAGTTTCAGAAAGCTGGTCCCACGAGGAGCCATGGCAGGTGAGAGACAGAGACATGTCATGTGCAAAGAGGGTTTGGGTATAGTTTATTCCATGGGTTCTGGAAGGAAAGGGAAGAGGGAGAGAAAGAGAGAGAGACAGAGAGACAGAGAGGGGGGAAAGGAGAAGAGAGGAGAGGAGAGGAGAGGAGAGGAGAGGAGAGGAGAGGAGAGGAGGAGAGGAGAGGAACCATGGCAGCAGCCACCTTCTCTCAAGAGAGACAGGGGCAGAGATAGTGTAGGCTGGAAGCAGAAGGAAGATCTGCTTGCCTTGGCAGAAAAGGGGGGAGTGTCTTTTAAAGGAACAGGACAGACCATTACATTCCCATCTCTCTTTTTTTTTTATAATAAAAAGGCAGGACGTTAAACACAACAGGTTAAAAGAATTAGGATGGCAGATTTTCAACACAGCTTGCTGCTTATTTGTGGTCCTTGTCTTAGGGGGAAATGTGAGAAAACTGGGTGCTGGTCACATCCTGGCAAAGCTGGTATCTTTTCTTCTGTCTGGTGTTTGTGGTCTGGAAATGTCCGGTGTCTCTTAGACCTGTTTAAGATATTGGCAGAACAGAGGACAAAGTTAAGTTTAGGGGAAAAAAAATTTAAGACCAGGGTATTGAGTTAGGTGTATCTGACCTGTTTAAGATGGATCCTTCTCTTCGGCTTCCTGGAACTCACAAGAATTCTTTGGGTTTTTGAAAACATAGGTTTAAAACAGCAGCATATTTATACCAGAATGACTGTGACATTTTTGCATAATGAAAAGTATCAACAGAGGAATGTAAAATGGCTGAAAGACACTTAAAGAAATGCTCGACATCCTTAGTCAACAGAGAAATGCAAATCAAAACAATTCTGAGATTCCATCTTACACCTGTAAGAATGGCCAAGATCAAAAACACTGGTGACAACTTATACTGGAGAGGTTGTGGGGTAAAGGGAACACTCCTGCATTGCTGGTGGGAGTGCAAGGGTACAGTCCATTTGGATGTCAGTGCGGTGATTTCTCAGAAAATTAGGAAACAACTTTCCTCAAGACCCAGTAATACCACTTCTGTGTATTATATCCAAAGGATGCTCAATCATGCCACAAGGACATGTGCTCAGTTATGTTCATAGCAGCTTTGTTTGTTATAGCCAGAACCTGGAAATAACCTAAATGCCCCTCGATTGAGGAATGGATAAGGAAAATGTGGTACATTTATACAATGGAGTACTACACAGCAGAAAAAAATAATGACATCTTGAATTTCTCAGGCAAATGGATGGAGCTAGAAAACAATATTTTGAGGGAGGTAACCCAGACCCAGAAAGACAATTATCACATATACTCACTCAAAGGTGATTTTTAAACATAAAGCAAAGAAAACCAGCCTACAAATCATAATCCTAGAAAACCTAGACAACAATGAGGACACCAAGAGAGAGATACATAGATATAATCTCCATGGGAAGTAGAAAAAGACAAGATCTCCTGAGCAAATTGGGAGCATGGGAACCTTGGGAGAGGGTTTAAGGGGAGGGAAGAGACAGGGAGGGTAGCAGAGAAAAATGTAGAGCTCAATAAAAATCAATAAAATTTAAAAAAATTACACTTGTAAAAGGACAGAAAGAAGAAAAAACTGCTTGTAATAGAAGCTTAACGGTAGAACTGACAATATTAGAGAACGGCTTAATATATTTTAAAGCAGGTTTGGATTAAATATATAGTATTTGTAAGATACTTAAAAGTACATATCAATTTAAAATATAAAACTTATTGCTTTGTTAGTCTGGAATGAGATATAATGGGCAGACAATTATAACATTTAACAGTAAACATAGGTATATTTAAGTTACATGTATGCACACACACACACACAGAGTGATCAGGAATTAAGCAAAGTGGATGCTTTTGGTGGGCCCTACCAAAGGCGTGTATTGTGCAAAACACACATGTAACAGAGTCAGCACTGGGACACCAGGCAGGGAATACCCCAGTAAAGATGGCAGAACTGGGTTACCTGAACTGGCCCTCAGTTAAGATGGCGGTAAGGTCACCTGACCTCGGTCAAAATGGCGGCAGTCACATGTTGTATGGAGAAGCCACGGGAGTTTTAAATATAATAACAAGAGAGACCTAGAGGTGTGATCCTCCCTGTTGACGAGCTGCTGCACCACAAACCTCGGTGGGAGCGAAGGTTGGTTTCCATGGGACCAGCGGTAGCAGTGGCAGGGAAAGACTAGAAGGAATGGAAGCAAGAGGAAAAGAGCATGGTGAAGGGGCTGCCCAGTGAAAGGGAAAGCAGAGCTGGCAGGACACCAGCAGAGTATTTACAGGCAGGTGCCTGGTAGTTTGAGGGTTTATTCTCCATAGCTAAAAATATGAAAACAGCAAAACCACAAGACCTGTAAAAGAACATCTTCTCTCTATAGGCAAAGTGTTAATGAAACCAACTGGCCCTGGTCTGGGCGACTCAAAAGCCAGAGGCTAGAGGCCGTCCTGGACTGTCTCTCATAGCAGGGACCACTTATGAGCGGTCCACAAGAAAACAAAGGAACCCCCAACTCCCTCAGCTTTCCTAGCCAGCAAGCAGGGAGTTTCCTGTGGCTAAGATTCCCCAAACCCAAACCCATGCAGCTGCCATCCAAACTACCAGCCACACCACACACCCAAACCCGCCTATTCTCCTGCAACCTTGGTGGAACTCTGAAACACAGCTTGCTTCAATACTGAGGGGACTTAAGAGGGACCAAGAGCTTGCTACAACACTGAGGGGATTAAGAAAGAGCACCAAGAAAGAAAACCAGGAGAGAAGACTAAAAGAGCAGGTGTATAGAGACCTCAGAGGCTCTCTGAGATGGACATTGATAGTACAGAGCAGACCAAGAAAAACTACCAAATACTCAGACAGCCACAGCAAGGATTTGACCAAGACACAAAGACACTGCCAGCCTCATTTGAAGGAAGAGATGGGCAGGCACCAATGCAATAATTCATCCAACAGCCTAAAAAGCAACATAACACCAGAACCCAGCGGACACACAACAGGAAGACTTGATCATGCTAACCCAGAAGAAGTAGAAGAAACGACTTTAAGTGTAAGTTTATAAAAATGATGATGACCTTGAAAGAGGAAATGAAAAACCCCCTTAAAGAAATGGAGAAGACAAACAAAAAAAAGGAAGAAATTAATAAATCCCTCAAAGAAAATCAAGAAAAAAACTATCAAACAGGTGAAGGAAACAGTTCAAGACTTGAAGACTGAAATAAAGGTAATAAAGAAAACACAAACCAAGGGAATTCTGGATATGGAAAATCTGGGTAAATGATGAGGAACTACAGAGACAAGTATAACCATCAGAATACAAGAGATAGAAGAAAGAATCTCAGGTGCTGAAGATACTATAGAAGGAATAGACTCATTGGTCAAAGAAAACATTAAATCCAACAAATTCTTAACACAAAACATCCAAGAAATCTGGGACACCATGAAAAGATCAAACCTAAGAATAATAGATGTAGAAGAGGGAGAAGAACTCCAGCTCAAAGGCACAAAAAAATGTATTCAACAAAATCATAGAAGAAAACTTTCCCAACCTAAAGAAGAATATCCCTATGAAAGTACAAGAAGCTTACAGAACACCAAATAGGCCGGATCAAACCCCTCACCATATAATAATCAAAACACAAACATACAGAATGAAGAAAGAAAATTGCGAGCTGCAAAGGAAAAAAGGTCAAGTAATATGTAAAGGTAAAACCATCAGAATTGCACCCAGCTTCTCAATGGAAACCATGAAAGACAGAAGGTCCTGATAAGACATGCTGCAGATACTAAGAGACCATGGATGCAAGCCCAGACTACTACACCCAGCAAAGTTTTCATTTACCATCAATGGAGAAAACAAGATATTACATGACAAAAACAGATTTAAACAATATGTATTCACAAACCCAGCCTTACAGAAAGTACTATAAGAAAAACCCCAACCCAAGGAAGCTAACTATACCCACAAAACCACAGGCATCTGATAGCCCTCCACCAGCACTACCCAAAGAAGGGAAACACAAGAACACTACTACCAAAAAAAAATCTGGAATTAACAACCACTGGTCATTAATATTGCTTAATATCAACGGATTCAATTTACCTATAAAAAGACACAGGCTAAGAGAATGGATATGAAAGCAAGATCCAGCCTTCTGCTGTATACAAGAAACACACCTCAACCTCAAAGACAAACACTATCTCAGAGTAAAGGTTTGGGAAAAGGTTTTCCAATCAAATGGACCTAAAAAACAAGTGGGTATACCTATTCTAATATCTAACAAAATTGATTTCAAACTAAAATCAGTCATAAGAGATGGAGGAGAACACTTTATACTAATAACAGGAACAATTCATCAAGATGCAGTCTCAATCCTGAGCATCTATGCCTCTAATACAAGAGCACCTACATATGAAAAAGAAACATTACTAAATCTTAAATCACACATCAAATCCCACACAATAATAGTAGGAAACTTCAACACTCCACTTTCATGAATGGGCAGGTCAACCAGATAGAAAGTTAACAGACAAATAAGAGAAAAGAATCAAATGGACTTAACAGACATCTATAGAACATTCTACCCAAACACAAAAAAATACACTTTTTTTCTCAGCACCTCATGTAACCTTCTCTAAAAACGGTTCACATACTCAGTAACAGAGCAAACCTCCACAGATATAAAAAAAAAAAATTGGAGTAACCCCCTGTGTCTTATCGGATCACCATGGATTAAAGTTAGAATTTAACAACAATATTACTCTCAGAAAGCCTACAAACTCACGGAAATGGGACAGTGAACTATTGAACCTATTTATTTATTACCTATAAAAAGACACAGGCTAAGAGAATGGATATGAAAGCAGGATCCAGCCTTCTGCTGTATACAAGAAACACACCTCAACCTCAAAGACAAACACTATCTCAGAGTAAAGGTTTGGGAAAAGGTTTTCCAATCAAATGGACCTAAAAAACAAGTGGGTATACCTATTCTAATATCTAACAAAATTGATCAAGGAAATTGGGTCAAGGAAAAAAAAAAAGAAAGAAGTTAAAGTCTTCCTTAAATTCAATGAAAATGAAGGCACAGCATAGCCAAACCTATGGGACACAATGAAAGCAGTGCTAAGAGGAAAGTTCATAGCACTAAGTGCCCACATAAAACAGAGAAAGCACACATCAGTGACTTAACAGCACACCTGAAAGCTCTTAGAACAAAAAGAAACAGATACACCCAGGAGGAGTAGAAGACAGGAAATAATCAAATTGAGGGCTGAAATCAACAAAATAGAAACAAAGAAAACAATACGAATAATCAATGAAACAAAAAGCTGGTTCTTTGAGAAAATCAACAAGATAGACAAACCCTTATCCAAACTAATCAAAAGTCAGAGAGAGAACATCCAAATTAACAAAATCAGGAATGAAAAGGGGGAACATAACAATAAACACTGAGAAAATTCAGAGAATCATTAGGTCATACTACAAAAACTGTACTCCACAAAATTGGAAAATATAAAAGAAATGGACAATTTTTTAGATAGATAAAAATATACCAAAATTAAAACAAGACCAAGTGAGCAATTTAAATAGACCTATAAATTGCAAGGAAATAGAAGCTGTCATCAAAAACCTCCTAAGCAAAAAAAGCCCAGGGGCTTTTTAGTGCAGAATTTTTAGTGCAGAATTCTACCTGAACTTCCAAGAAGAGCTAATACCTATACTCCTTAATGTGTTCTACATAATAGAAACAGAAGAGTCATTGCCAAACTCTTTTCATGAGGCTACAGCTACCCTGATACCAAAACCACAGAAAGACTCAACCAAGAAAGAGAATTACAAATCAATCTCTCTTATGAACATGGATGCAAAAATAAAATACTGGCAAACCGAATCCAAGAATACATCAAAAAAATCATCCACCATGATTAAGTCAGCTTCATCCCAGAGATGCAGGGCTGGTTCAAAATATGAAAATCTATCAATGTAATCCATCATATAAATAAACTGAAAGAAAAAAACGTGATCATTTCATTAGATGCTGAAAAAGCATTTGACAAAATTCAACACCCTTTCATGATAAAGGTCTTGGAGAGATCAGAAAAACAAGGAAAATATCTAAATATAATAAAAGCAATATACAGCAAGCTGATAGCCAACATCAAATTAAATGGAGAGAAACTCAAAGAGATTCCACTAAAATCAGGAACAAGACAAGGCTATCCATTCCATATCTCTTCAATATAGTTCTTGAAGTTTTAGCAATAGCAATAAGACAACAAAAGGAGATCAAGGGGATTCAAACTGGGAAGGAAGAAGTCACACTTTTGTTATTTGCAAATGACATGATAGTGTACATAAGTGATTCCAAAAACTCTACCAGAGAACTCCTACAGCTGATAAATACCTTCAGTGATGTGGCAGGATACAAGATCATCTCAGAAAAAATCAGTAGCTCTCCTATACACAAATGATAAAGAAGCTGAGAGGGAAATCAGAGAAACATCACCTCTCACAATAGCCACAAATAACATAAAGTATCTTGGGGTAACTCTAACCAAAGAAGTGAAAGACCTATTTGACAAGAACTTTAAAGTCTTTGAAGAAAGAAATTCCACATATCCTCAGATGACCCACCCGTGGGTGGAAGGGAATGTGGATAGAGCCTGGCTGAGTCACAGAGCATCGATGTAATGGTTTAGATAAAATGGCGCAGTTCCTCAAGGGGTACAGTGGGCCATGAGGGGCAGGTGGGTCCCACGAGGAGCTGTGGCAGGTGAGAGACAGAGACAGATAGGCACACCATGCAGAGTGAGTTTGGATATAGTTTACTCAATAAAAGGAAAAGGGGAGAGAAAGAGAGAGAGGGGAAAAAGTGGGGGAGGAGAAAAGGCCTGAGCCACCTCTTCTGAAGAGACAGGGCAAAGAGAGCACAGGCTGGAAGCAGAAGGAAGATCCGCTTGCCTTGGTGGAAGGGGGCAGTGGGCAGGGCTTGTCTCTTAAAGGGACAGGACAGACCATTACACTTGAGATGGCTAGCACTGAGTGATGGAAATGACAGCAGTCACCACACATGAGGAACTGTGTCAAAGGGTCTCAGCATTAGGAAGGTTGAAAACCACTGCTCTAAAACAAGAAAAGCAAATTTCTGGAGCTTAAGTCACCCTGTCCATAGGACATTGTTATAGAAATTCTAACAACTAATATGTGCAAAAGCTAATACTAGATCAATAAGTACAGGAAGAGTTGTCATTTTGTTTATTGATACACAATAAACACCTACTACGCTATCCGGCAGATAGTAGATCTTCAATAAACATTGTCTAAGGGAACTTAAAAAGCAAATAATTATAGTGCCCCTTGGACAAACCTATTAAACAACAACAATGCAATGCCCCCCACCATAAGCTCCTAAAACTGAACTCCTGATATCTTACCACATACTGTGATGTAATGGATCTGTTGCCACACCCCAAATGAACAAAATCCCCTACGATGACTCACGTCCTGGAACAATTTCCTGAAAAAAAGAAAAGACAAAAAGTCTTACTATTTTATAGTAAATTATAATATACACACCCAAAGAAACATACCAGATTTACCAACCTGGACAGTGAAGAGTCCAGAAATAGAATGAAGAAATAAAGTGACCAGTCCAGGAATATAGAAATATAAAGTTGTAAGCCCAAACACAATTTGGGAGAAAAATAAATAAATAATGTTGACAACCAGTGTTAACCTTTAACAAACACTTTCTGCCTTAAGAGCAGACATCCTGGCAACCATGTGGACAGAGGTAAACTTTTAACAACTGTCTCCTGCCTCCCAGCTTCCCAGCCAGGCAGGTACCCCAGACAAAGGTTAGCGTCTAACTGTTGTCTCTATGGGACCCTCTGTTTGTTTCCCTTCATCTTTAACTGTCTCCTATGTGACTCTACTGTCTGCCTTGCATCCTTACAGGGACAGTGAAAAGTGGCTGTGTCAGCCACAGGCTTTCACAAATGCTGAGTTAACAGTCTAATGTCCTTCAACCAAAAGCTGTAAAACTTAAAATGCGATGTGACTTTAAGCCTGACCTCAGGGATATAAAAGCTCTTTGGCCCACTCCTGGTGCTTGATTTTACTATAAAAGAAGGTCCAAAACCAACCCTCATTGCCACAGCTACAGAAACCATTCTCTGGCTGTAGTCACAGCTATAGCTGATAAGCTTTGTGTGCCCATAGTGATTTTTTTCTTTCTTTTTCCATAATAAAGCTTGCTTCTGGTTTAACAGATTTGGTGGTCTGTTCTCTGCCCCCATCATTGCGCCAAACCCCTGGACCCAACAGAATGGCACAAACACAAGGCTTGTCTTTTCTGTTTTTGCAAGTGTTTGGTTGGCTGATGTCATTAAAGGCAGCGAGAACAGCCTGGACCAGTCGTTTAAAGTAGGAGATAATTACGAACTTCCCTGTTCTTACTGAAGCATTTCTAATGAGTACAGGAAAAAGACTGATTAAATTTCCTTAGGACTGATTCAGTTAGAGATTCATAGCACATCCTCAACCCCATCTCCACGTCCTAATGTTACCATCATCACGGTCAATCAGTATTTAATTTGGTGACCTGAAATGCTAATCAAATGCCAACAACATATGAGAAAAAGCAATAAAAAACCATATATTATGCTTTTTAGCTTAGTAAAAAAAGAAATACCCTTTTCTCTTTTTTGTGGAGTTGGCAAGGGGAGAGGAGACCGACACAATCTGATGGTGAATCATGATGGCTGCCAGCATGTCTACTGAAAAAGAATACAGTTAAACTCTACAGTTGAAGGTAGGATTAAGTGGGAGAAAGGAGGCTTGTGAGCTGGGGTGTGGCTTGAGATAATGGGTTGAGGACCTTGACAATAGGCACCAGTCATGTGTTAATAGTAGGGTGGAAAGTTCCTCCTGCCAAAGATAAGAATTTGTCTCCCCTTTTTAGCAAGCAGTAAATTTCTTCAGGTCCCTGAGGGAATGGGAACTTGCCTGAATGCGCTCGACCTTGTAAAAGGACTTTCTTGGGGGATCAAACCTATTTTGCAAGTTATTGTATTACTTAGTTTATCCAAATAGCTAGAGCTGAAAAGTGAGCAAAGACAAAGCGAGACCAATGCTGTAGCTCCAGTTCATCCTTGCTGTCTGGGAAGCTGCATTCCTGTCTCTCTCCCCAACACTAAACACTCAGAGTCTCCAAACTAAGGGAAGACACCAAAAGCCCAGTTCTGCATTCTTGGTGGCTACTGCAGCTTCCTTCCCTGGAGTGGCCAGCTGCCTCCATCCCCGCTTAAGCATTCAGCTTTTGACCATTCTTGGGCACAAACCCAACCTGTGGCAGACACATCATCACCCCTCACCTATCACCTATATAATCCCCTTGCTTTACTTCAGGTGGGCAGCTTCTCCAGCCTTGATTTCTGGGACTGAAGAACTCACTCAGGAGTTGCTTTGTTCAAATAAACCTATTGAGACACTGAAAGACCTCCCGAGCTGGGAGACTCTCACTCAAGTCTCAGGATAACACGACCCCCCAGGAACTCATGAGAGACTGTCCTTGAGGTTTATTGACAGGACAGGAACCAGTGCACTGGGGCCGAAACTCATTTCCCATGCAGGGGTAGAGAGTTCAACCCCAAGTAGATGGGAGAAGGGGTGTTTAAGGGAAGAAACCACAACCCAGTAATCCAAAGAGCGTAGGGAGGGCATCACTGGAAAATTGCAAAAGTACCAGTGATCATCACAAAGGGGTAACTCTCTGTTTCTCAAGATTATAATCTAACTTTATCTTCAACTAGTTCCTAAAACTGAGTCACTGATCCAGCTTAGATTTTTGGCTCTGTTTTTCCCGCTAGAGAGATCTGGATTTATCCAGGTCTTTCATCTCCCCGCTTCTTCTAGTGCCGTGTTCTAAACATAGAACTAGATTTCAGTATCCTTTTGAACTTGTAAAGCGCTATATTGGTGGCATAACATCAAAATCTGAACAGCACTTATTCTTTCTCTAATGAAGGTAATTAGTTTTAATGTATTAAAGTACTGAGGGCCTGTCTTAGAGCAGTGGTACCTGTCCCAACATTGGCAGCTACCCTGAGGCTCAGGATTACTGCTAATGTCAGAGAAATAGTTTCTCGTCAAAAGCAAGTTGGGTGCTTGTCAAACTCATCCTCAAGCGTGTTAGCTGGATGATAAAAGACCCTAGGTATCAGTTGTACAAGCACGCAGTAATCTTTGGTGTCATTAAAAACTGATGTTGACACAAAAGGTGTCAGGCGTATACTACAAGGCCACCATGTATCTAAATCGGGAACCAAGTACCTGGTGTCAGGAGTCTTAGAGCGCTTAAGAGTCTCATTACACAAACGTCTGTAGGCAGCCGGTGGACTTCCCAGGCATGACCCTACTCCTGTAACCTCAGTAAGAGTCAGCCTAACACAAGCATCCTGACTGGTGGTGGTGTTAAAAGCCCCGATACTGCAATTTGTCAAGAGTACCAAGAATGGCCCTTTCCAATGAGGCTCAAGATTCCCAACTCTATGCTGCCGGACAAAAATGCCATCCCCTATTTGGAACTGATGCAGCACATGTGAGTCTTCTTCTTTTAGTTGTTTTTAGATCTGGTGTTTTATCACTTCAAGGGTCGTTAGGCGGGCAAATAAAGGTCTGGGCCACAAAGGCGGGTCCGTTATCAGACTCGATTACCTTGGGTATCCCAAACCTCGGGAAGATTTCTTTTATGATCTTCTTAGCCACCACATTGGCTGTCTCAGTCCTGGTAGGAAAACCTTCTACCCAGCCTGAAAAGGTTATCTATAAAAACTAATAAGTACTTGTTACCATATCTGGCTGGCTTAATTTCTATAAAATCTACGTCCCAGTAGGCCCCAGGCCTGTCGCCCCTGAGCCTCGTCACAGGAGTATATATGGAGCGTCCTGCATTAGTCATAGCACAGGCCTTGCAGCTTTTGACTACTTCTTCTGCCAAGTCAGAGAGTCCTATAATAACATAATAGTTGGAGGCCCTAACAACATCTTTTAGTTTCTTGGCCCCCAAGTGGGTCAGGTAATGTAAGTTGGTAACATACTTGTGCCCTTCTTTTCGTGGGAAGACTAGTTTTCCTCCTTCTGTCTCTACTGCCCCTTATGGGGTTTTCTTTACTAGTCCTAATTTGCCAATAACTTGATAGTCCTCGGGGTGTATCTAAAGTTGGTTTCACTGATAGATATCATGATAATCTTTAGGCTCTTTGACTGCCAGGATCATTGCTCCCTGAGCCGCCTGTTTAACAGTTAGGTCTGCCATCTGATTTCCTTTAGCCACAGCATCTCGAGCTTTTTGTTGCCCTGGACAGTGTATGATGGCTACTTTCTTTGGCAAATGTATGACCTTGAGGAGACTCAAAATTTTTTCTTTATTTTTTATGTCTTTTCCTGCAGATGTTACTAGTCCTCCTTGTCTGTATATTGCCCCGTGTATATGGGCAGTGGCAAAAGCATACCTGCTGTCAGTGTAGATGTTGATAGACTTTCCCTCTGCCATCAGTAGAGCTGGCATCAAAGCCACAAGTTCAGCTTTCTGGGCCGACGTCCTTCAGGGAGGCTACTGGCCCAAATTACTTGCTTCCCATCCACCACTGCTGCCCCCCCCTCCCCCCCCCCCGCCTTCCCACTTACCTTCAACCACGAAACTGCTGCCATCCATATACCAGCTCAGACTCCCAGGCCATTCAGATCATTTTGGGTACTAGCTTCTTCTGCCAAAATGTCAGCGCAGTGATGGGTAGGTGAGGAGTCATCAGTCTCAGGGCCGTAGGGTAGTGGGACTGAGGACAGCAGGGGGAGCGAAGGTCACTGGTTCAGTCAACAAAAGCCTTTGATCACCTCTGGCCTGGTTCAAGTAAACCTGATCTGGGCCTTCAACTTTGTTAACAAGTCTCTTTCTAATAAAGGCGTGGGACACTCAGGGAAAACCAGGAAGGAATGAGTCACTTGTCCTCTCCCCAAATCTACAGTTCGTAAGGTGGTCCACAGATATTGTTTCTGTCCAGCTGTTCCAATTACTGTAGTCTTTGTATTATTTAGCTTCCCCAGTTGTTGTTTCAGCAGAGTGCTCAGCTCCTGTGTCCACTAGAAAATCCATAGGGGTCCCCTCCACAGTCAGGGTTACTCTAGGTGTGGGGGAGGGTGTCTGAGCCCCGTCCCCTCTAATCATCTTCTTCTAGGGCCAGTACCTTAGAGACCCTTCCTTTTTTCTTTGGGCATTCTTTTGCCCAATGTCTTTTTTCTTTCTTAGCAATAAGCACATCGGTCTTTGTCCAAGGGCTACCTCTGTCCATCTTCACTCATCTTTGGTCTTCTGTTGCCCAGGTTCTATCTGTCTAGGTCCTGTCTTCCCTTTCTCTCCTACCACTGCAGCCAAAATTCTATCAAATTTCTCTCTTGTCTATGATCCCTCCGGTTCTCTCTCTCTGTCTCTCCCTCTCCCTCTCCCTCTCTCTCTCTCTCTCTTTCTCTCTCTCTCTCCCTATCCCTCTCCCTCCCTCTCTCTCTCCCTCCCTCCCTCCCTTTCTCTCTCTCTCTCTCTCTCTCTCTCTCTCTCACTCTCTTGCTTTTCTTCCTCAGTCTCTCTCTTATGAAGCACTTTCTCTGCCTCCTTAACCAAATCCTGCAACCCTTCTAACCGCTGTAACTTTTTTTAATATCTGATGTTGACTGTCTTATGAAGGCCATAGCTACCGCAGCTTCCTGACCCTCAGAGGTTGGGTCAAAGGGAATATAACACCTGTAAGCCTCCTTTAAATGTTCAAGAAACACAGGTGGTGGTTCAGCCAGCCCCTAAAGAACCTCTCTTTGACCTTGAAAACATATACAGGGAACTAGATAAGGCTCATTTCTGTTTACACATTTTTTTTTTACCAAAATCTCTCTTGCTTTTTAGACAACATATCAAAAATCTCTGTTGCCTTTTAGACAAAATAAAAACTCTTACCAAAGTCCTTTTTTGTGGTTTTTCTCAGTGGGGATGTATGGCTACATTTTAAACAAGAACAGCACATAAAATCCTGTACCAAAAAAAAAAAAAAAAAAGCCGGGCGGTGGTGGCGCACGCCTTTAATCCCAGCACTTGGGAGACAGAGGCAGGTGGATCTCTGTGAGTTCGAGACCAGCCTGGTCTACAGAGCTAGTTCCAGGACAGGCTCCAAAGCCACAGAGAAACCCTGTCTCGAAAAACAAAAACAAAACAAAACAAAATAAAAAATCCTGTACCAGTGTGAAACATTTGAGACCAACAATAGGTTTTTTTTTTAACATTAACCAACAATAATTTGCAACCAGCCCCTATAAATGATAACAGATACTTATAATACTTATAACTCCTAGGAGTTCTTCACCCGTCGAGCCAAGCCTTAGTCAGCTTTGACCAGAGGTTTGAGGCGTGCAACTCCAAGTGCTGGTGGAGGGAACTCATCCATCAGCATGGCGTGGGGGAAGATAGGTGGTATGCAGCACTGGGAAAAAAGATTGTTAACCTCTTTAGGCCATAGCGATTACCCTCAGATTTTTTGTTTAGTGTTGGAAATCCTATTGGGGTACATCTACCTTCTACAACTGTGTCTGGCAGCCTTGATACCTTGTAACAGCAAAGCTGAATAGCCCAGCCATCCATACAAGCATGCTGCCCCGCAGCCACGTGCTTGGGGCTGAGGCTGACTCTTTTTTTTTTTTTTATGAAATATATCCCTATGCTTATGGCCCTATTTCTGAAGTCTTGTAAGTGGTCACAATATCAAAGTCAAAAGAAGTCATGATTTGAGTACATCAGCGTCAGTCTAAGTCAGTACAAAAGCACAACACACATTACACAGACATACAGGACAATGGCACCAAACAAACCAAAGACACAGCTTCAAGCTGCTTCGTGGGTGTGACCTGCCCTGCTATCGAAATGAGACTGCTATCCACACATGCCTCTACAGAGAACTGACCATGCTACTCGTGTGTCATGCCACAGAACTGAGAAACGTCACCTGTGTATCTCACCACAGAACTGAACACACTACCTGCGCGTAAGACAAAACAGAGACCATAGATACACAGACAAAGGTTAACAAAACTTAGAAAGATAAAACTACTGATCCAGAGTCAATGTCACAGTCTGTCCCAATCGTCAAAGTCACAAGTAAGACAAAAGACCAAAGACATACAAGACACACAAACAAATGTCTGTCTCCACCATTCTGTCTGGACAAAACCATTTCAGAAATACAGACAGCTGAGAGGGCATATAGTTCCTCCAATACAGGAGAACTTCCATATCTCACCAGCACCCAGACTGGAATCTCCCAGGCATCCCTGGGTCCCTTCTCACCTCCTGGGACTTCTCCCAGGGCGGCAGCCGGTGATCAACTAGCATGTCTGCTGATCACTCCCTCTGTCTCCTCCCGAGCCATGAGCAACTGCAAAACAGAAAATATAGAATCTGTACAGAACCTGAATTCAGCTGGCACGGAAACACAAAGACACAGACACACAGACAATATCTCACCTCCAAGTGGGTCTTCGGAGAGGATTGTGGTCGCCAATTCTGGGATGAGCCCCCAAATGAAAGACCTCCAGAGTGGGGAGACTCTCACTCAAGTCTCTGAATAACATGACCCCCCAGGAAGTCATGAGAGACTGTCCTTGCTGCAATCACATGAGATTTATTGACAGGACAGGAACCAGTGCACTGGGGCCGAAACTCATTTCCCACGCAGGGGTATAGAGTTCAACCTGGAGTAGCTGGGAGAAAAGGTATTTAAGGGAAGAAACCACAACCCAGTAATCTAAAGGGGGTAGGGAGGGCACCATTGGAAAATTCCAAAAATACCAGTGATTATTGAAGAATTCTGAAAATACCAATGATCATCACAAGGGGGTAACTTTCTGTTTCTCAAGATTATAATCTAACTTTATCTTCAACTAGTTCCTAAAATAGAGTCACTGAACCAGCTAACCTAGATTTTTGGCTCTTCTCTTCCTGTTTAGATTTTTGGCTCTATTTTTTTATGCTAGAGGAGTCTGGATTTATCTGGGTCTTTCAGGAAGTACACTTGAACACATTGGCACAGGGAACCATTTCCTAACTATAACCCCAGCAACACAGACACTGAGAGAAACAATTAACAAATGGGACTTCCTGGAACTGAAAAGCTTCTGTAAAGCAAAGGACACCATCAACAAGACAAAACAACAGCCTACAGAATGGGAAAAGATCTTCACTAACCCCACATCAGACAGAGGTCTGATCTCCAAAATATACAAAGAACTCAAGAAATTGGACACCAAAAGATCACATGATCCAATAAAAAAAATGGAGTACAGTCGGGCGGTGGTGGCGCACGCCTTTAATCCCAGCACCCGGCAGGCAGAGGTAGGCGGATCTCTGTGAGTTCGAGGCCAGCCTGGTCTACAAGAGCTAGTTCCAGGACAGGAACCAAAAAGCTACGGAGAAACCCTGTCTCAAAAAAAAAATAAAAAAAAAAAATGGAGTACAGACCTAAACAGAGAACTCTCAACAGAGGAATCTAAAATGGCTGAAAGACACTTAAGGAAATGTTCAACATCCTTAGTCATCAGAGAAATGCAAATCAAAACAACTCTGAGATTCCATCTTACACCTGTAAGAATGGCCAAGATCAAAAACACTGATGACAACTTATGCTGGAGAGGTTGTGGGGGAAAGTGAACACTTCTGCATTGCTGGTGGGAATGCAAGCTGGTACAACCCCTTTGGATGTCAGTGTGGTGACTTCTCAGAAAATTAGGAAACAACTTTCCTCAAGACCCAGTGATATCACTTTTGGGTATATATCCAAAGGATGCTCAATCGTGCCACAAGGACATGTGCTCAACTATGTTCATAGCAGCTTTGTTTCTCATAGCCAGAACCTGGAAACAACCTAAATGTCACTCAACCAAAGAATGGCTAAGGAAAATGTGGTACATTTACACAATGGAGTACTACACAGCAGAAAAAAATAATGACATCTTGAATTTCGCAGGAAATGGATGGAGCTAGAAAACATTATTTTGAGTGAGGTAACTCAGACCCAGAAAGACAATTATCAAATGTACTCACTCATAGGTGGTTTTTAAACATAAAGCAAATAAAGCCAGCCTACAAACCACAATCCCAGATAACTTAGACAACAATGAGGTCACTAAGAAAAACTTACATATATCTAATCTACATGGGATGTAGAAAGTAGAAAAAGACAAGATCTCCTGAGTAAATTGGGAGCATAGGGACCTTGGGGGAGGACTGAAGAGAGAAGGGAGAGGCATTGAGGGGAGCAGAGAAAAATTCAGAGCTCAATAGATATCAATAAAAAAAATTTAAAAAACATGAATTTTAAAAAGGGGATTGTAGATAAGGCCTTCTTAGAAACAATGATTTTTTCTAGATATAATCCAAACAGAAGGCCCCAGCTTTCTAAAGTATGCAGAAGTTGTGGCAAAGGCTGACACTGGACCAATGAATGCAGACCAACAAGAGCAGACAAGGACAGGCCTTAGGGGGCCTCTTGAAGGCCCCAATGCCATAAGTGGTTCAATCATTCCCTGTCAGCACGAGGGAACTCCTCTACAGAGGACCTAATACCCCTTGTTAAAAACCATGCTGCTCTGGAGTGACTTTCACAGATAAAACAAAATTTTCAGGAGAGACCATAAAACAAGTATTTTGGCAAACTTCTGTAAATGACCAAAGACCAAAGCGAAAATATGGATAAATGGTATTATAATTGAAAG